AGTCACTACACGGATCGCGCAGTCCATTCTCTATGCCTTTGCCTATACCTAATGACATATATACATAGACATTTGGTCTATGTATATATGTCTGTAGTATATATATGTCTATATATGTATATATGTATGTATGTATGTATATTTATTTATGTATGTATGTATGTATGTATGTCCATTCTGTCCATAGCTTAAAGCTGGAAATTGACAGTTTATGTGGCGTTTAGGACTCGTTGTGTCTCTTTCTATTTTTGATGAGAGCAATATGATAGAATGTAAGAGCAAGGGTACTAAACGTCACAAAAACTGTTAGTTTCCAGCTTCATCTCCCACCACTAAAAATCATAGGAATGCTTGGTCTATATATGTATGTATGTCGTTGCCTATATCCCAAATTCAACTATCAATTATTTAGACTCCTTGATGTAAACAGTTAGTAGATGATCTTTATGATCAAATTTCATTTTTTATGAACCCACCTAGTGTGCCTTCCAACAAGCTACACAGTGCGACACAGTGATCATGTTATCTTTGTTTAACACTGGCAAACAACAAGGATGTAATGCTCCATTGTGTCACACTGTGTCATTTGTGTCGCTTGTTGGAAGGCACACCTAAAAATATAGGTCAGGATAGCAATCATTCAACTTTTTACCTTGGACTAAAATGTAAAAAAAAGGAATTTATTTTGTATGTATGTACGTATATATACATATATACACAAAAAATTTTATTTTTCTTGTTTCCACTATAAAGAAAAAGTTATGATTGCTACCCATATCGCAAAATAGATCTCTCAGAGTAAATGTAGTCATTATGTCCAAATCTCTGTGACGTCAGATTAAATAAGAATAAATAGTGCTTACAAATACTGTAAGGCTAATATTATATTCATCGGTTTTTTGTTGTACGACAAGCTTTTCAAGCCTGTTAATTAGCTGTAGGACAAAGACGTTCTCAAATCTTTGTCTTATAGCCAATTAACTCTTAAAAAATTTGTTGTATGGCACATGCAATATCAAAAAACACATGAAAAACAGGATGCACTCTAAGTTTGCTACATTATAATTTAATAAGACATTTATAACTTTAACATTTTATGAGTATTGCAATTCATTTGTGTAAGAATCATACGTGTTTGATAGACAAGACATCCTTTGACAAATGCAGAAACGAAGGCACCTTCTCACCTTTTCAGAAATTTAGCCTCATCCATTTTACAGCTCACTATTTCGTTGGATTTCTTGATTAGAAATTAGAATATCTTCTGCTTTAAAGACACTATTTGCCAACTCAGCCAATTCTCTCTGTTAAGGGTCGACAGGAAAGACTATGGGAGACCTCTAGTTGGAAATGAATTCCTTATGCTGAAATTATAACTAAAATATTGCATTAGTGTTTTAATTGCGATATTCGTAATCAAGAAGTTATCTAAAGGCTCGTAATTTTTTTTTTTAAAAGGGCAAAATAAAAATTCATTCTAATCTCTCTCACCTGATGTGTACTATGATGCACTTGAAGTGCAAATAATCGTATTATTTATAATTTTTTGTCCAAAAACTGATTTGCAAAACCGATTCTGTATGAGCCTTCCCAGTAACATGAGAAAGAAATTTCACAAGGAAATATTATTTCTTTAAGAAGAAAAACCAGCATAACTAAACTAGACCTGCATTTATATATAGGGTGTTTTCCAGCAAGAAACACAGATTCTTCTTTTCTTAGCCCAGCAGCTTAATTGGCCGTTACTGGGCTCAACCGATGGTCTTCACTCTTCGGAATTAAATATATTGTAGATTGGACTGCACAATGCACCGACCACCTCGAACCAAAGGTGCGTTCCGTATCGCGCATGATGTGCATGATGCATCCATTGTCCTTGTTTAACATTTTGTGAGCAACAAGGATAAACGATGCATTATGCGCATCATGCGAGAAACGGAACGCACCCAAAGCAAACGTTGGAAATATATCGTTTATGAACGTTCCGTTCACTTTGAACGGATCTTTTTAAGGCTTAAGTGGGGAGCACAGACTCTTGCATAACGCATAACACATGAGGCATAAGAAATTGAACCAACCAGAGTTCTCTATTACATAGAAGGGAAAGAACGGAGAACTTCGATTGGTACATATTCTTATGCATTACGTGTTATGCGTTATGCAAGAGTTTGTGCTCCCCGCTTAAAGGGC